TTGTAATAACCTATAATGAAAAAAGAATATATATATATATATGTATAACTGAGTCACTAGGCTGGACACCAGAAACTAATACAACACTGTAAATCAACTATACTTCAAGAAAAAAAGAGCTTCCTATTTATGATAGGTACATGCAATATATTTTGAATCAATCAATAACTAATGTGAACCCCTCTCCCCTCAAATAGCAGAGGAGATATGTCTTAAACAGAAAGGCAAAATTGAAAGAAAACAGAATAATAAAAGCAGAAGTTGCAGAAGAGATGTTAGCAAGGGTCCTCCCTAGCTCTGCCTCCTCCCCGCCCCATCTGCCCTTCCTCCAGCGGCATCCCAGAGTGGTCCTTGCTTCCACGTTGCACATCTTATACATGAATTTTAGATCATGCTGCACTAATGGAACCAAATAAACTAGGTTGAAACTTGGCTAAAGATACAGAGGCCAAAGGAAAGAATCACTAGAACTCCGTGGAACTGAGAGTGATCATCCTAGATGCTACATAGGGCATAGAAAGTGTGGGTTGCAGTAGGTCTTTACTCCTACTTTTAGGGGAGTAACGACCCCTTTGGTCATTTTGGGGGACTTGGGGGAAACGATCCTTTAGGACTTAGACACTGGAATTTACGTAAATGTAAATGTAGTATTTACTATCTTCCAGGTATTTATCAATTACTCAATAAGTTTTCTCAATTTCTTCATTGACAAATGAGGTAAGTGAGGCACAGAAAGTTTCAGTAACTTGCCCAGAGTCACACAGTAACTGTGTGGCTAGTAAGTGACACAGCCAGGATTGAAACTGCTGGGTCCCACTTGGAACCTCTGAGTTAGTATAAAGATTACTTTAAGCAGAAGACATGTGAAATTCAAAGGATGCAGAAAGAAGCCTTCTCGGAGCTTCCTTTATCTGACCAAACACAGAGACTGCTGAGAAATGAGGGCTATCATAAATTCTCTCTGAGGGGCCACTTCTACTCCCGGCAGTAAACCTACCCTAGATCCCGTCTCTGGGGGAGTTTTGTGGTCCTGAAGAAGACAGAAGGACCACTCATGCCTGGGTAGACAAACATCATCACAAACTTTATCTCCTATCCTTCCAACAACCCATTTGTCTTCCTAAAGACGCCTATTTGCTCTTCCCCCATAAGCCTTTCTCCCCTTCCCTTCCCTGCACTAAGTTAGATGCACGTCTAACCACTTAATGTAACCACTTAATGCACCAGCTACTTCTTTTATAGGCCCTCATGTGCAATACAGATTCTCCCTTTACTGCTGTTGATCTGTCTTTTGTCAGTTTAATTGGCAGTCTCCAGTTATCAAACCCTAGAGAGTTGAGAAACAAGATTTCCTGCCCCGATAAAAACCCAGGCATTTTGGCTACAGTAATCCACCTCTAAACCAGAGTTTCTCAACCTCAGCACGACTAACATTCAGGCTGGACAGCTGTTAGTTGGGGATGGGTTGTCCTGCGCCTTAGAGGATGTCAGTAGTAGTAGCGCTGATCGCCCCACAGGGCATGACAATAAAAAAATGTCTCCAGACGTTGCTAAATGTCCCATGGGGGAGCAAAACCCCAGCCCCCTGGTTGAGAAACACTGCTAATTTTGCTGCCTCTCCTTGCTCTGGTGTCCCGTTTTCTGGGAAGACTTTCCTGATTCTCCTCCATCAAGGCTGACGTGTATTGAGATCTGACTATGTTCTGGGTGACGCCTAGATCTTTACATGAACTTGCTTGTTTAATCCTCACAAGTAACCCGTGGGGTAGGTCTAAATGCTACTTGCTTCTATAAACGAGAAAATGAACTTAGCCCTGTTAAGATCTTGCCCAAAGTCACGGGGCCAGAAGCCCTGAATCTGGAATCCATCCGTGGGTCCTTCCAGCGTGTGTGTGTGCTCTGAACCACCCACTGCCTCAAATGGTCAGGCTCTGTTAATATCTTGGCCGCCTCCGCCTGTCTGTTCTTTGAGAGCAGAGACCAGTGTGTCCCCAACACCCACGACGCAGCACTCAGCTCAGTGTTTCTTAAGTGAGTAAATAAGAAACAGTAGATTAAAACCTTCCCAGCTCCAAAGGGGAAGATGGTGACCACCACACACAACTTTCCCACGCAGGAGAGGGCTGCCATTCCATCTGCACAAAACAGTGTTCAGGACCTCACTGGACTCAGAAGTCAGAATATTCTGCGATAGAAAACCTTCAGGAGCAGTATGTGATGGACATCTGAATGTTTCTCTGTTTTAAGTTATCTCTTTAAAATTAATTCAAATGACCCGAGAGAGGGGACGCAAACAGACTGCACATTCTTTCTCAAAATTAAAAAAGATGACAGGCCTTTAGGATTAAATCTTCATCCTCAAATTGTCGAGTATATTGCTTCATTCTAAATAAAGTTTTACAGGTAAGTGGTGTTTCATTAAACGCAACAGGGAGTCAATATAATTTCCTTTCTCCCGGAAATGAAATATTTTCTAGCATCTCAGCATCTCAGCCCTGGAAGGGATGCTGAGATGGCAAAAACAGGCTTTGAGGGCAGGCTTGTCAGCCAATGCTTTGTCACACACTTCACCTCATTACTCTCCCCCAAGACTCCATCTGCCCCTCTGCCCCTGACAAGCCCAAGGAAAGAACATTAGCCTTGGAGTTACAACTGGCTTGAGTCTTGGTTCTGCCACTTACGAGATGAGGAACCTTAAGTAAATCTCTGCTTCTCTGGTTGGTTTCTTTATCTGTACAGTGGGGATGTTTCCAGGATCTTTTTCTCCCAGGGCTCTCATAAGGTTAAGGAATAAAGAGACCTCTTAGTCATGTTTTTAAAAATGATTTCCCTACTTTAGCTGGGGTTCTTGCAAGTGGCTGCTGGACAGTGTGCTCCAGGCAGCTCTCCAAGGGCCTTTGTGAGGCCCTGTGTGCCTTCTGGGGCCGTTCTGTTTTTGGGTGCATCACCCCTCCTCCCAGATGCTATCAGCTCTGCTGGGGAAGGCACAGACCCACTCTTGGGGGCGTAAATCCAAGGAAAGTCACTCTGTATTCTCGCCTGTCCCCAGCCAGCACCCAGCAGTCCCCAGGCTAAGGAAAACGTGATATGTGGCCTTGAGGGAAGAAAGGAACCCACTGTGAAGTGTGTGACAGAAGTGTCGGGGGAGGGGAAGCAGGAAGGGGCAGTCTGACCTCACTTGCTGAGAAGGTTTGGACCATGGAGTGGTTTCCGAGCCAACTGTGTGCACAGCACCTTCAGGTTTTTTTGTTTTGTTTTTTGTTTTTGTTTTGTCCTGTTTTTGGCCATGATCTCTTGGTAAATTCTCCACTTGATTCCAGAGCTAAATGCTCTTGCTTGGGGGCAAAGTCGGTTTTGCTATCCTTAGGAAGAGTGGCAAACTCTATTCTTCTCATCCTGTCTCTACTTTCTGGCTTACATCATTCGGCATGAACTAAGAATCTATTTGATATTTTAAAAATGAAATTCTACAAGCTCTGTGAATGTCTGACTCTAAATGTGACATTCTGTTTGAGCGGGAGGAGTCAGAGCCGGTTAGGCGATGGGCCATTGGGGTCTTCGTTTCCGAAGAGATGGGAAAGGAGCTGTGTACACAGCTGGAATTATGAAAATTATTTTCCTGATTTTACATATATTGCTGTTTTTCTCAACAGAAGTTAAAGGACATGTTTACAATATTGCTCCTGTCGCATGGTTAGGACTTTTAGAATCTTGAAAAAAACTGTCTACATTGCAGTTTCTGGGGAAATATGGGGGTCTTTCTTCTCTGGACAATCATGACAAAAGGTGCTTACACTCCCACACGTGCATAGTCCCAGGCAAATCTGTCACACAAGGTCTAGTCAGGCCTCGGGAACTCTTTCATTAGATAAAGAAGATGTGGTCTATATATACAATGGAATATTACTAAGCCATAAAAAAGAATGAAATAATGCCATTTGCAGTAACATGGTTGGAGCTAGAGATGATCATACTAAGTAAGCCAGAAAGAGAAAGATAAATATGGTATCACTTATATGTGAAATCTAAAAAGTGATACAAATGAACTTATTTACAAAATAGAAATAGACTCACAGACATAGAAAACAAATTTAGCGTTCCCCAAAGGGGAAAGGGGGAGGGATAAATTAGGGGTCTGGGAGTAGTGGGTACAAACTACTATATACAAAATAAATAAACAACAAGGGCCTACTGTACAGCACAGGGAACTATGTTCAGTACCTTGTAATAACCTATAATGGAAAAGAATCCAAAAAATAACATATATATGTACATACACACACATACAGATGTGTATAACTGAATCACTTTGCTTCACCTGAAACTAGTACAACATTGTAAATCAATTATACTTCAATAAAAAAAGAAGAAAGAAGGAAAAAAGACCCCTTTTTCCCAGTAGAACATTCACCAGTACTGTCCTCACCTGGGAATCCACACCATTTCTCCTCTGGTTACCAGGAGTCTCTGAACACATTTTCTTCTTATTTGTACATCCTGGATTCTAGAATCACCATCTATGGGAGAAAGGAAAGAAGGGAACACTGTGAACAATTGTGTCACAAGGATTAAGTGGCTGTGTGTAGGGGGAAGTTTACTGGCTCCTGTTTCTCCCAATCCTATCTGGGAATTGGAAACCAAGGAAATCTAGGAATGAACCTGGGTTTTTTATTTTCATTCTGTGGGTGTGACTCATTAGCGAGCCCTGAAGTCAGTTCAGCCCGACTCACTTTGGCCTCCCGACCTCTCTCGACTGAGCTTGCAGGGTCAAAGCTGAGATTCCGATCGCCGAGCCTGGACCACGATGCTGGCTGCCGTGCGGTTAGATGCCCCAATTTCTGTAATAGGTTTACCTCTGAGAGTGTTTTCCAGCCTGGGGCTTGGGGTTCATTGCTGGTCAAATTCATTCAGGGATTGGCAGCTACATTTAAAAAAGAATGAAATAGAATACAATGGATCAGAACAGAAGTATCAGAGTGCCCCACGTGTAATACAGTTAGTCGTTGACTTACAGCCTGGTAGAGGAGTTGACCGTTGACTCCCCAGAAGATCACTGGAACATCTACGGATCAAGCAAAGCCGAGTTTGCTGGACCCGCTGCAGTGAAAGGGAACTCCGCTTTGACAGTCTTATCATGGCCCAGAGGGGAGGTCACCAGAGGTGATTTGTAGGAGTTTGTTGCTGGGGGTTAAAGGCGGGTCTTTCAAGGCACAGAACCACTTGTGAATTGGACAGAGTTTACAGCATCATGTACTTTGGGCCGGTGGGTGCAACAAGCATGGGTCTTGACGTGAATCTAGGAAACTAAGCTGCCATGTGGCCAGCGAGGGGTTTGCCCAGCTGAGCCCTCTGCTGTCTCAGGAGAAGAACTGCTTCTCCATTTCAGCAAACTGCCTGGACAAACGTACGGGCAGGAATTTCCTTACACAAGCAATCACATTATTTATCGGTTAAAAGTCTCATTTTCCTGGGCAAGAATTTTCTGAGATAAATAGTGAAGCCGTGCTGACTCATCATTGAAAGTGTTTGCATACCTTGGCTATTGAGAAGTTGCTGAAACAGGATTTCTAGACATAAATAATTTATGAACTGTTTATAGTTAATTTACATCCTGTCCAGTGTTTTTAGAAAGAATCAGAGTCAATGATAAATTATTAGATACCACTATTGTGTTTAAAAACTGTGTTGGGGAAAATGTGAAAGGAAAAAAAATGCTTGGAATTGGGGTTAGGTAGTTGAATTTTACTGGAATTTGTTAAGTTTTGAAAATTCCAAGGTAGAATAAGGAAAGTCAAGATAAGAATATTCTAGATGATTTTGTTTGTTTTTTTTAAAATGGTATTTATATTGTACCTATTATTCTGTATATTGCTTTTTATCAGTTAATAATATGTCTTTGGAGATATATAAACATACACACAACTATATATAGTTACTTATCTATCAGTACATAACTATATATACTGCATATGTATATATACATAGTATATACATAACTATATATACTTACATATATGCAATCTATGTGTTTTGAATGGGCAGGACTTTATCCTTACTTCCTGCCATCCCTCTAAACTTGATCACTGGGGATAATCCTCACTATTACTGGATGGCTGTCCTGCTTGCTCTTAGGCAATGACATTTCTCTGGTGACCTGAAGGGGAAAATCCATCCTTAATTTTGAAATGTTGGTGACTGTCAGTTATAAACACATTATTGTAGATGGAAACTGGTGATTTCCACTCACGTGCATAACCACAGTCCCCATCATCGTCATGATAAAGGGGGCAGGTCTCCAAAGGGTCTCAGTCCTTCTTCCAATTACTTTCTTGCCTTCTGATTTCTTCTGTCCTTCCCACAGTGTCTTCCCCACCTTTCTTCTTAATCTAGACTTTAAGTGAGGGGTAAAGCAATCAGTCCAACTGGCATTTTAGTTATTTTTATTTTCTTTTTGTTCAATCTGCTTTCCCCTAACCTTTCTGAGATAAATCTTGCATCACTTTGTGGAAACAGACAAGCATGGTGGGTGGCAGCGTGAGTAAGAGTTAGTTCATTAACATGTCTGGAATCAGATGGATGTGCTATGAATCTAAGCTTTGCTTCTTACTAGCTTTGTGATCCTGGGTAAGTTATTTAGCTAGTATATGCTTTCAGGTTCTTCATTTGTAAGCTGGAGATAATCGTATTTTAGAGGAATAGTACGAGAATTAAATAAGAAATATGTGTGTGTGTGTGAGAGAGAAAGAGAGAGAGACAGAGGCAGAGACAGAGACAGAGATAAAGAGACAATCAGAAATGCTATTTGCCTGGCACTCAGCATAAGCACTCAGGAAAATAAAGGTAACTATTTTCTGTACATAAAATATAAACACAAAGTAGCTATTAACTCTTATAGAAAATGATATTACTTGTCTTGGAAATCCACAAATAATCAAAATATAATCAATTTCAATGAGGGATTTTAATACTCAAACTGATCCAGTAGCTGGAAATTTAATGAGGACTCCCTGTGCCCACAGGGAAGAGTCAGATGATTCAGCACCCCATCCTCATCAAGCTCTCTCTTTAATCATCTCTTTAATAGTATGCAGATAAATAATTAGATTATAGAACATTACAAAAGGAAATCTAATCAAAAGGTAAATTATGTCAATCAGAAAATGTTTTTAATATGAATAATGGCAAAAGTGACCCATTCACATCTAGTTTATCATCTTTATCCATGCCACCTTCTTAGGTTAAAAAAAAAGTCAATAGTTGTATCCATTAGGAAGTATTAAGCTGCAAGTAACACTAAGCTCAACTCTAGGTACCTTAAACAATGGGATTTGTTATCTCACTTAAATGCAAGCCCAGGTAAATGATTCCAGGTTTGGTAACGTCAGCAGCATAACCGTGTCAAGAACCCAGCTCCATTCTCTTCTTTCTGCTCTGGCATCCTCAGACTTGCACCTCTACGCTCACCTCGGCTGCCACAGCTCCAAACATTGCAGCCTTCCTCCACTTCCGTAGGGAGTGTGGTAGGCTGAATAATGGTCCTCCAAAAGAGATCCACAACCTAATCCCTGGAAACTGTGAATATTATTTTACATGGCAGAAAAATAAGAAAGAACAAAGACTTTAAGAGATGATTAAATTAAGGGTCTTGCGATGGAGAGGTTATCCTTGGTTATTCAAGCGGTCCCTAAAGGCCATCGGAAGGGTCCTTATAAGAGGGAGGCAGAAGAAGATTGGACACAAATGCAGAAGAGGAGAAGGCAATGTAAACATAGATAGAAGCAGAAACTGGAGTAATGTGGCTGCACAGCGAGGAATGCCAACAGCTGAAAGAGGCAAGAGACCGATGCTCCCCTGAGCTTCTGGAGGGAGGATGGCTGTGCCAACACCTTGCTTTGGACCCAGTGACATGATTTTGGACTTCATCCTCCTTACCTGTGAGACAATAAATTTCTCTTGTTTTAAGCCCCCAAGTTGGTGGTCATTTGTCACCACAGCCATTGGAAACTAACGCAGGGAATGAAAGGGGCATTCCTTCTCGTAGGTTTCCTTTCATAGGCAAAGGAGCCTTTTTCAGAAAGCTCGTAGTACACTTCCCCAAAGGTCCTGTGAACTAAGTTCTAGCTTCAAGGATGCTGGAAGACAAGCAGTTGGCATTTTTAGCCTTTATAAACCTCTGCCAGCAAGGACAAAAGAGGATGTAATCATTTGGGGAAAAGCATCTGACACGACAGTAAAGGGACCACGTCACAGACAGGAGGAGGCAGACGGAACCACAGCACTGGTGGCACCGGCCAAATCCCAGAGCCGAGCACTGGTACCTGTAGAATTCAACCATTGACGGCACTCTTGAAGCGAATGGTTTCACCAGCATCAGGGTATCGCTGTCTTTCTTACTGAGCCAGTCAAGGGTCTCCCACTTTCTTCCTTGGCAGTGTCCGGCCACCCTCCCCAGGGTGAGTTCTCACGCAGCCATGGCTTGGCTGACCTTCCTGAGTAGCTCCCAGACAGGGACATCCTTCTTGAGGTGGGTGGGTTTCCTTAGCGACGCTCAGCCAGAGCATTCCTTCTTGTAACTCTTGGCTCTGACTTCCCGGAGGCTGTCCCTGGGCAAGGGAGGTATGCTCTGAGCCTTATATACCTCTGTGGATGGCTTCCCTGCAATTCCAGGTTTCTTATTCATCCACGGTAGTCATCAATGTGACCTCCACCAGTGGACTTTTCATTGGGGTGGGGCGCAACCTTTCTTCTCGCGTTCAGAGCTTAGTGATTATGTGGCTATTTGCCCTCCTTTCACACTAACTGAGCTGGGCTGAAGACTCGAAGGCCTTGGAAGAGCTCGACTTCTATCACAGAGACATGGGAAGCCCTTGCCAGGAGTCTTCTGTACTTAGGGCCTTCACTGGAGTTTAAACATCCTTCAAATCTGACTCATAGCTCCAACCCCAAGTAAATGTATTTTCTTTTTGCTTCATTAATTTTAAAAATGTGGAAGGTTTTGAGTTTGGCTCAGAGAGCATTATAAAACACAAAGTCCTGTCATCTGGAAAATGCCTTTTTTGATACTCTCAAGTAGGACTCAATTGAAAGGGAACCCACACAGAGACCACCAGGTAATGTAATGGCTCTTTGCCCAGAAAACATTTGGAGGCAAACGCTTCTGCTGACCCACAACTTGGGACTCGTAGGATTTTAAATCTATTACTTATGGAATCGTTAACTCTCCTACCGGGCTGTTAATCGGCTGGTTTGTTAAAGCTCTGCTGACTTGTTTCGTTTCATGGGTTTCTCCAGCCCCGCCAAGGCTCCTCAGAGACAACGGGCTCTGGGACTCCAGGCTTCTCATGGAAACTGACAATATGTCACAGGGGGCGGGGACCCTGAGGACGTCAAGCAGAAGATGGATGCGATTCCACAGCTCGTTTCACGATGAGTTCAGCCGTTCCATGTCTGAGTTAACTGCTCTAGTATGCTGTGCAGAAAAACATTTGTCATTTTGGTTCCATTTACCCACCTTGCAACGAGACTTCCATAGCAGTGGCCCCAGGGCATTCAAATCCTTCATCCCACCAGGAGACATGAAAGGGACTGGAAGAAGCAGCCAAGAAAAATTGCTCATGGAGACCAAGCATCCCTGAGAAGGTGACTGAGGTGGACAAGTGATATGAGAAGCAGAAACGACACAACGAGACAGATGGAGGGGCCCCAGGTGGCACTGCACCTTGGCCTAAACATGCTTTTAGAGCCACTGTCTTCTTTACGGGCCTTCGCTTTCCCTCCGCTCCCTCCATCCTCTTGCAGACCCACAGAAGCACGCTCTTTGTTTGTTAGAATCATGCCCACATTCTGCTCAGATCCATCCTTTTCAAGCTTTCTGCCCTCCTCGTGGAAACATCCACATTCTGTGGTTCGTCTGTTGAGACTCAGTGCTTTCGATCCAGTAAATGAGGCTGGGCCACGTGGCTCACAAGAGCCATCATATTCTAGAGCCAATCCAAATACAGCGAGACCCACTTGTATAATTAAAAAAAAATTTCTAGTGACCACATTAAAATAAATGAAAAGAAACAGGTTAAATTAGTTTCAGAATATAATTCCTTTTGTCCTAACATATACAAAATATTTTCGTTTCCACATAGGGCACTGGCCACGTTTCGGGGGCTCCTTAGTCACAGGGAGCTTGTAGCCACGGCAACCCCAGAGTCAGGTTCTTGGCCGTATTTTCTGTACTTTAGTAAATCTCATGATAGCACATTCAGCCAGGTCTCTGCGCTCTGGGCAGGAGTGTAGATCAAATATTTTGTGTCAAGGAAGTCCCTCCTGGGCCCTTCACTTACACTGGTGAGGGACATACCTACTCTGAACATTGCCCGTCTGATGTCTATGTATGTGTCTCTTACAATCCTAAAACATCACTCTTGGGAATTCTCAGGAAGAGACAGAACAAGGGGAGAAGTTTCACAGTAAATTTACTCCTATTGGCAAAGTCTAAGGTCAATACTATAAAAAAGAACAAGCTTTGGAAATTAAACGCTGATATTACATACAGTTGCATCAATATTCCTACCTCCGTTTTTGTTTCTTATCTCTTTCAGAGGCTCTGCCCTTTTTTCTGCTCCCCTCCCTTTTTTCCTTTCCTGTA